TATATATATATATATATATATATATATATATATATATATTCGAATTTACAAATGAATATGCCAGTATATAAGTGTATATACTGCGTTAGAAGTTTGCACCCAAAAAGTAGACACTACAGACACTAGTTTGTACTATTCGAAGAGCTTAGGGTCTTTCCTATGCATGTACCGCTTGCTCCAGTGCCTTTTTTTTTTGGCAGTACGCTGGTTTTGTTTCTTTCGTATTCTGTCCACCTTCTGATCCGAGCACTGGTTGTATTCAAAAAATTTGACGTAGGCTTTTTATTTGTATACTACTCTAATGGGCTTGCTTCCAGTGTTCTTATCAGTTGGTGTAATTTTGCCTTGCTTACCTGTAAGTTTGTTTTGACCGTCACCTAATGCTGTAGTATTGGTTCTGTGGCCATCTCCATGTCAAGTTCGCGGCATTGGTCAAACATACGACATTCCAAGGCGCGGAAGCAGGTGTGTAGTTTTGCATTATGAGGTGCCTCTATATGATCTAGTATGTCGCCCTCGAGTATCCTCAGTGGGCTATACATATGGCCCTGAGTCGTTGTGAACGGATATCTGAGCCATTTTTCCCTTCCACCGCGGCCACTGCTAAAATGGTCCTCCTACGCCAAGTATTTGGTGCATGGCCCATGACATCCGCGATATATCACCTTCCCAGTTCTCGTTACGCAACACATTCGCGTTGTTGTGAAATATTCGATATGTAAACGGCGAGATCCGTCGCTACACACCTTCACTTATATATACGTACTTTCTCACACAGGTATTGCACTGGTTGGTAGTGGATTTGCGAGCACTCGTTTCCTTGCGTTAGACAAGTGCCTCCCAGGGCGAGACTTCTTGCAAGTGGTCACCATCGACAGCACAGTCAGCTTACAAGAATCACTCAACCAAGACCCGCCCGAAGTCAAGGAAACCTCGGCAACCACCACTACGAAAGAAAAGGTACATCCCCAGTGTTCGCTAGTACCAGTAACTCGGAAGTGACTTGCCATTTCTGCTCTGGGGTTTCTGTGGAAGAAAGGTTCATTTGGTGTTGTTTTGCTACGACATGTGGCTCATCAATTGCACCCGATGATTGTTATAACGCGCTGCGTTGTCGATTCCGTTCGTGTGGAAAGCAAAGCGCAAATATTGTTCAGGTCATAATTTCAGTCTATTACTAAAGTAGAGTACTTTTGTGTTTCATCTTGATCGCTGCTCCTTGTTTTTTATCATTTGAGCCATACACAATCGGCTACGCATGTATGTTAAAGTTTACACCGCCGCTATTGATCAATTCCAAAATAGGAGGGTGCTACGGAGAATGACGATGCCAGTGAACACAAACTCATGTACGATGAAGAATGGCTAGCAATTGTTCGGCTTTCACATCCTTATCTTAGCTGGGAGCGTGCCACACCTCCATTACCTGCTACTAGGTATGCCCCCATTTCTTCTGCATTTACGCCCAAATGCAGGGATGTATGCATCTAGTAGACTTTCTATATGTGCGTAGCAGGTGTTGTGCACCGTTTCTATTGTGGATTGGACATAGTTACCCTATGCATAATACATTTCATATTGAGTTCTCTTTCGCTAAAAGTTACATTCCTTCGTTTTTCACTTTATACTATTGAGTGTATGGACTTTAACTTTACCTCTGTGTACCACAAGCCAAAACGTTCAAGGGTATTTGTATCATATGCGTACGCGTAGCCATGGATATGGTATGGTCGTGGCTATATTCACAAGCACATAAGCACGCCAATGAGAAGATTCTGGGACTTTCATATGTGCAACTACATATCCACAGGTATACAAATGAGCAGATTCATATCTCACGCATACTTCTATTTACTTGCACCACCCCCAGATTCAGCGATGAGGCGCTCAACAAAGAAAGAGAAGTCGTCAGGACCATGATGCCGGATCTAACCATTCCCGATAATTTCCAAGCTATCGTTCCTGCCTACAATTCTTGCACTCCAGATCGAGGTGAACAAGGTAGGCTTTCGAGCTATGTTAGCTTCAGTATACCCGTATGTCAATTGGTTAATGCCGAAATCTGTTTGCACATCATTCGCAGTAAGTATTTGAACTTTCTCCGTACCACATCTTGCAATGCCGACTGCATGCTATTGAACCCTCAGAGCACCCCATTTGACAGAGCGCTTGACCTTTAGGCTTATTTGATTACCCCTCCAGGATTATTTGATTGCCATATATGAGAACTACTTGCATCTCTTTCCATCAAACGATAGGCCCTATGCTAGTGAAGCCACAGAACACCATATTTGACAGAGCGCTTGACCTCCAGGCTTATTTGATCGCCCTATATAATAACATCTTGCATCCCTTTCTCAAAAACGATAGGTCCTATGCTAGTGAACCCACAGAACACATTTGACAGAACGCTGGACCTCTAGGCTTATTTGATTACCCTATATAAGAACATCTTGCATCCCTTTCTCCCAAACGATAGGTCCTATGCTAGTGAACCCACAGAACACCGCGTTTGTCAGCGCGCTTGGCCTCGATAAAATTGAAAGAATTGCTCCTACGAGACATGCCGAGAGGCCAATGGCCGCGCCCGTCAAAATTGCCACACCACCGCCCAACCCGAATGCCATAGATCTGGGTGATTCAGATGACGAGGAGGAAGCCTCTGGGGCAACCGAAAATGGGGAAAAAATCGAAAGTATGTGTGTACGTCTATATGTATGTTCAATATGTTTACCTATAACTGTGAGAATAGGAAGTATGAAGGTAGTAGGGTGCGTAGACTTGTGTTCATACAATGAGCGTGTGCGGGTTCGTTTGGTATGACATCTATTCAAACGTGCATGCACATGGGGATGCACATGACATATCAGTTCGTGTATGCTTACAATCGCCTTTAGACTTCTTCATTGCTTGTCTTATGTGTTCAACGTTTGTAGGTCGATTGTGTCTCATGAATGTTCTGTACTGGTCATAGGGGCTGTGGTGGAGGCGGAGGTGAAGATGGAAACGGACAGGAAAGTAGAGGACAATGAAGTGATTGGTGAGGAGACCGAAGAATCACTGAAACCAGAGGAATAGCCACTATGTGCTAGTAATACTGTAATGTCCGGTAGTGGTGTGTAGTGCAGTCTAGATTTACGTACACTATTCCAGTAAATTCTACCAAATCACGTCACAAGAGATATTTGAAGCAGATGTAGGGGTCATTGTCTCTTGGACCCAAGTCGTAGCTGGATCACACACACAATCCAATCATAGGCGAATATTCACCTCAGACTATATTCTGATTGACGTGGTAGACTAGTAACTCTTCAACAATAGACCTATTAAAGTGAAGTAGAGTGTAGTCTTATCCAACTGGCTCAGGTGCCAAACTGGGTCATTCAGTCCAACATGTGAACTCTTGTTCATTGGATACGTAGACTGCAACATAAGGGGTTGTATGTATTACTCCGGTACTCTGAAGGCAGTGGTGGCCCATACAAAACAATCTAGTCTCCAGAGTTTGAATTGAACTCAGTCGTGTACATCGAATGCTTGCTTGTACCGCCATTGTCCGGTTGCCACTTCTGAGATATGCAATCAGTACTGTCCCTCTGAGAGGATATGGGTACCATGGAAGACGTACCGTGTGCCGAAATCAAGAAAGCTTGGGCCTACGGATAGACTAGTTGTATAAGGAAATCTAATGAAGTTTTGTTCCTGCATTATTTTGGTTACTAGCAAACGGTACTTCCCAAACGCAAGACATAAATTTGCAAAATCCAGCCGTTTATTTTCTGAATATTGAGGCTACTCGGAATTGACAGCTTTTAGCTAAGTACAACATGGCCAATGAACTGGAATATTATTAATTTATTCCACTAACCATTCAAGTGTTTTTCTTAGTCTTCTTTCCCTCTGTGTCCTTTGTACTGGGTTTCTTCGGCGATGAATCAGAGAATCCATAGTACGAGTAATACAATATCAAGAGGAACACAAAAAATACGGTGTATGTCATCAGAAACCCTTGTAGGACGCCTCGTTTGAGATACACCACAGTACCATAGTGTAACTGCCATACGTCATTGTAGTACTGATAGGGCCTGCAGTGTGGAAAAGTAGCCAATTATTCAGCAATTCTGGTGCAAAAAGGAGGGTTTCGAGCCACCAATAATGTAGTATGTGGCAATCGAGCCTTTATCTGTGCCAGCCCACCCTGGCCTAAGAATTAGAGCCAACCAGCTATGAAGCAGTGGGAGAACAGCGAAATGGTCCGATAATAAGGAAATCGCAAGTGCATAAATCCACTCAAAAGAACCCAAAACCAGTGAATCTACAATAGGTGAGGTGCAGCAACCATATCTGACACATTCGAAATAGCACGTTGTGAGCGACCCCTACCGTGAAATCACATGTCGGGGGAGACAACACACCAGTCACTGTTTAAAATCACGCCAGCCCACTTGCAAGCAACGTGCACAGCTTCTCACCTGGTGCGAAACTAGTAGCAAACGTTTACACTGCTTTCAATGATATCTAAGATGCAATTGAATTCAAATGAAGAAAAGAGGTTTCGAGTGAACCAACAGCATGCTACATTTGCACATCACCGCACCTGTAAGACTCTCCTCCAGTGAGGATTATATTTACTCCGCCTTCTCCTCCTCGTTGCTCCATCACTGTGAAGGTATGTTTGTACCGGCCTAGAGGTGCGCTGCCCACATCGAGTTGTGTCCAGGTTTGGCTGGAGAATGTGTACTTCCAGAGCTCATTATGCAGCTGGAAAAACAAGATGATACGTAACACATGTTCAAGTGAGTGGTTTGTAGTATTTTTCCGTTGCCCCATGTGGGACGGTGAACACCAATCGGCAGGTGGACTTCGAAGCGAGTGTACAATCCACTGCCTATGAAATATACGAGTAGTAACGCAAACGAAATCTCTCACGTTCACTCTTTAAGTTCTATGAATCTGATTTAATTTGCAATAACTTGTTGAATGCATCTCGATGCCAAAACAAAACAAATAAGAATACACCACAGCAACAGGTAGATCAATTACGCATATTGGAACGATCATAAAATGAATGGGATCTTCTATGCATCAACATAACATATCAACACTCGCACACCCCTTTTGTTTTAATACAGCAACATTCAAGGTATGGTGATACTAGATGACTGTGCCAACATAGCGCTCGCAATTGTATACATAGGCCATGTATGTAGTCATCAAGCCAATACGAACAATCTGCGTAGTATGAGTACTCAATTAGACAAAACCACTTAGTAGACCACTTTCTCGCATTGTACACTTCCCCTAGATATACATGTCGGTCTCAGCGGCTCTCACAATCGCAAATATATGCAGTGACATCAACACTCTGATTGTACACAAATGATTGTACACAAATATCATCGCATGCAAAATAGTGAGATATATGTTTAATAGGTCACACACCTTGCAGCTTTTCTCGCATTGTCCACCCCCAAAGACATACATGTCACCCTCAGCGACTCCAGCACCGTGCCAACTGCGCGCCGACGGGAATGCATCGGTAGTAATGTTTTCCCATACTTGAGTATTAAAGTCGAAGGTCCACATATCGTTGAAATGCACTTTCTTTAAATCCGAGCCTCCATAAACGTACATTCTGTCCTGATGAATTTTTAATTTTCAAAAGTGAATATTTGCTTCTACGAGAAGGAAAGCGGTTTAGTCCAAGCAGAAATTATTCGCTGAGCAGTTTGTAGGACATCAAGCACATAAAACGCTACATTAACGTGGAATCGTATCATATTAGCTGCAATCTAGTTCAGGTGTTTGGGAAAGTATTGTAGCACGCAGTTCGCGAGCAAACAGTGACACAATGTATCACATAATACGACAAAATACTACTGTGAGACACTCATCACTAACGAATCACATCGCTAAGCCCTCACACTACCATGAAATGAACCCATGACAAATAACCCAAATTTAATCAGTAACGGTAACCTTGGGACGCAAAACAGCAACAATCTTCGTACAATACAACGGAACAATACTTTGGCTAACATATCACGAACAAACAGCAACGTCATAGTTTATATACTATCCCGGAATGACATTAGTAGAATAAAAGGCAGCGACTCGCTTCCTATACTACCACGGATGAATACAGTGAGTCACAAATCACAACCTAAAGAAGAAGAGCATACCTCATGGACTACTGCAGTGTGTGAATGTCTCGGTGGCGGTGACGCTGAGGTCACACTCGGAAATTTAGACCACGTGTCGTTTGCCAGACTGTAAGAAACGCCACAAGCGTGTTAATATGCAGGACCACATCTTGATTACAGGTCAGAGCAGCCTCAATTTGAATGTGTGGATGCACCTTCAATCAGTAAAAACCCACTCCATAAGCTTGAATACTGGACTCAAAATACTATCAGATATGAAGCTACACACGGTACAGGAGTATAATATTATAGCATATGCAAAAGGCATCGATGCTAGACCTTATGATAAACGAACTAATCAAGAGCGTGATAAACCACGAGCAAGCACGATGACAAACGCACTCAGATCTCCACGAGAAAGATTAATTATCTGTGTATATTCTATAAACCCACCTTAACCGAAATACACTATGAGCAATCAGACCAGTCCAGATCGCCACATCTGACTATTCAACCCGAACTATGCGAATGTGCACTGCATCTCAGCATTGGCTATACCCACCCAACTTACTCGAATCTCCACAGTGAGCTCGTGTCAACGCGTTCACCGCCAGTAGGCAGATCTGCATTTACAGTGATGCCTCCATACACGTACATACCGCCATTGTACTCGACGGCCGAATGATGGCTGGTGATTTGTGGGATCGAATCGGCTAACCCCTCCTTAGGCCCCTTTCTCTGCGAAAAAGACAATCAGAGTCAGATCATTGGCGCATTATGTTCGAAATCTTACTCAAGGCATCAATATGCATACACCGCTACCAGTGTCTATAATCGCCAGCAAATCAATGGCGACCTGAATATAAAATGGAAAACCCTGCTGTGTGTGTAGACATACTTGCCAATCCATAGCTGTCACCGGCGTCTCGCCATTCAGGATAACAGAGCACCACACATCGTTGAAGAAACTTCCATGCTGGTATCCTGCACCACCCTGCCTTGTAAACATGAGAATCTGAAGTTAGATTTGAGCTACATTCATGCTTTTTGTATCATTGTATATTAAATGCAGACACGAACAAACGTGACCCTGTACGTATTACGTACACATTATTCACGCCCAATTTTACTTTAATGCCAATAGTGAAATGAAATACTACCTAAATTAGATAATGCAGACATTTTCTCATGCACGTGTAGTTCACACGATTTAAAATAATCGGCTATATTTCAAGGTGACAATTCGAGCAGACAGATTTACGTTTATAGTATCTCATGTGCGAAATATATGCGAGAAGTACATACCGGAGCGACGATATGTGTATGTCAAAGTACATGTAGCAAGTAAGCAACCACTGGATGCAACCATGCACAAGATCTCATCACGAAATCCACCACTTCCATAGACCCACTTTTTCGGTGAAAACACTTCACTGGATTGTATGCCGATAATACTTGGAAACATACGAAAGAAGAGGGGATAAACGCGACATTTTTCTAGGCACACCTTTTGCCTCCATCGTCACCGCCAAAAATGCACATTGAAGTTTCCCCCTGCTGCCTGTCGTGGTAAAGGACAGAAGACAGACTATTCCGCTCCGCTGGGAAGATGTCACCCGAGTCCAACTCGTACCACTATTCATTGATACAATTCATCGATGTCATGAGACAAACAGTTGTATGTATATACATGGACTTGTACTTATATATATTCATGTCCATATACATATACATATACAAATGCAGATTCATATTAAGCACATATATACATTTATTAGACTCGTATATATGTATATATATATATATATACATGTATGCATACATATACATATATATATATATATATAT